TAGTGACTGTTCTAAAAGAGACATATATAGATATATGTTTAATTTTCACAACACCTTGGGAATTAAATATTGTTATTACCTCTGTATGTTACAGATGAGGAATCTGGTGCATGGAGGCTAAGTGACTTGTTTGCATGGTCTCCAGGACAGCTCTTTGCATCAGTTCACTATTATTCAGTCCACTGTTCTGCTAAGGGACCTTTAACATTTTCTCTTGTGTACTTGCTTTCTTCTATCTTTAAACCTTCCTGAAATTGATGTCCTTGTGCCATCTAGTATATATTCTGGGAAAATTCTGTGAATATGTTCTATAGGGCTAAATCCTAACAGTTGAATGGCTGGATTATTTTCTATTTTGTTTTGGGACCTTTTGGGGGAGTACTGCATTTTTCAGAGTACTTAGGGAAGCCCAAGGGTTCTATAAAGCAGGTTTGGTATCATTTATTAGACCATATTGTTCCTTTAAAAAAGAAGATATGATCTTATGAACCTTGGATAAAAAGGCTTTCACAGATAGGATATAGGAGGAAGGAAGGCTATTTTCAATAATAATGCCATTTATCTAAGCAGAGATCATAATATATCTACTGATGATCTCTTTTCAGAACTGGTGGAGTCTCTTTCATTGCAGGGATCTTATGCTGGAAAAATTCATTCTATTGGTGATGCCTTCAGAAATTTTAAAAATCTCCGATCCTTAGATTTATCAAGAAATTTGATCACTAGCCTAAAGGTAAGTTCTATATGTTATGACTAACTAGGTCAGCCCAATGTATGTATGTATGTATGTATGTATGTATGTATGTGTTTGGTACTGGGTCTCTTTTTTTTGCGTATATTTTTTTTCTTTTGTTTCTTTTCTTTTTCTTTCTTTCTTTTTTTTTTTTTTTTTTTGGCAGAACCGGGGATTGAACTCAGGCCCTTGCGCTTGCTAAAGAAGCACTATTCCACTGAGCCATCTCCCCAGCCCAGTACTGGGTCTCATTACCCAGCTCAGACTTGTAGTGATCCTGCTGTTGTCAGTCTCCCCAGAGCTGGGATTACAGGTGTGTGCCACCACACCCAGTCTCAGTTGCCACGCAGCACGCCCCAGGGTGGTGGTACTGGCATGGTGTGTGGTGCAAGGGATCGAACCCAGTCCCTGTTCCTTCCCTCCAAATTATTTTTTGAGGGAAATAAATAAGAGAAAGATAATGTCAGCCTGGGAAGCATAAGATTTTTCTTTTAAATGTTCCCTAAACTAAATTTTCGCTGTAAAATTCTTTCAACTTTGCTCTATGTTTAAAATTATTTCCTGTAAAGTTTCTATTGCAGTAAGAAAACTATATTAATCTTTTATTGCTTAGGGCAATAGTATAAACTTCAATGTGTATAAAAATCTATCAAGTTGGGCGTAGTGGCATATACCTATATTCTCAGCACTCTGAGATCTGAAACAGAAGGATTGCAAATTCAAGGACATGCTGGGCAACTTAGTGACTTAATGATACCCTATCTCAAAATAAAAAATCAGGGGCTGGGGAGATGGCTTAGTGGAATAAGCACTTCCCTATCAAGCACAAGGGCCTTAGTTCAATCCCTGGTTCCACACACACACAAAAAATAAAAACAGTCTGAGGGTGTAACTCAGTGCAAAGATCCTGGGATAAATACTCAGTATTACAACAATAACAAAAATTATAAAGAGGACTTGTAAGTGTACAGATTCTTAGTCCCTACTCCAAGAGTAGGCCTGATTTAGTAGGCTTAGAACATACCTGGGGAGTTCTGAAGATAGTGGTATATGGAAAACATGTGGAAGAACACTGGCCTAGAAGAACACTGGCTTATGTTGTCACTAAGAGTTTTTCTAAGGGAGCAGGGAATGAGGTCTTAAAAAAACAAAAAGGTTGGGGCTGGGGAGATGGCTCAGTGGAATAAGTGCTTCCCTGGCAAGTGCAAGGGCCTGAGGTCAATCCCTGGTTCCACAAAAAAAAAAGGTTTGAATCAAGGGATGGTAGAGTGGAATATAGAAAGGGGCAGGTTTGTGCAGTGTGGATTAAGATTAGCAAATGCATGAAAAAGGCCTGCAGATGTTCAGGAATAAAGGTTTTATTTTTTCTGCAGTAGACAACAAATAATGCTTCTTCCTTACATTTCCATTTTGTCCCAGTTAACTGGCAGATCCCTTCTGTGGAACACCAGAGGTAACAAAGACTCAGAGATGCTATCCAAAATTAATCTCCTAGATTGTAGACTTCTTAGAGTACCGAAACCCCCTACCAGTCTAATCCACCCAGCAATATGGCATGAAGATGCAAGAGAAAGACAGAAAGTTCTGCAGTTGAGGAGCTGTGGAATGACCAGTGTTTTCAGTGGAACAAAAGGCTTTGAGTTCAGGGCCACAGAGATAGCTCAGCGGTCTAAGCGCCTGCCTAGGCAAGTGTAAGGACCCAAGTTTGATCCTTGATACTCCATGCCATGCTGGCCCCACACCAGGCACGCCAAATGGACCACCAAGACTGAGTGTGGTAGCACACCTCTGTAAGCCCAGTGCTGGGGAGGCTGAAAAAGGAGGACCACTATAGGTCCAAGCTGCATAGTGAGACCCTATACCAAATACATGAAATTTTTTTAAAAAGGCTTAGAGTTCAAAATGCTCATGGCTTTTATTGGTATCAATCTAGGAGGTGGTTGGAGGTGAAGGCAGAGTGTTAAGGAAGAGAAACTTGGTAAGCATTGGCTGTACCAGGTACAGAGGCTCTCTAATTAGCAGTGCACCAGATAGCTTGATGTATGCAAAGCTGACACTTTTTTTTTTATTTTAGGGAAGGGTCTACAGGGGTGTTCAGGGTCTCATTACTAGATCGGACTCATAGTGATCTGCCTGTTCACAGCCTCCCAAGAGCTGGGATAACAGGCACATGCTACCATGCCCAGTCTCAATTGCCGTCTCAGCACGTCCTGGGGGAAGGGCCAGCACGGCAGGCCCTGGGAAAGCTGGCACCTTTACTGCCAGAAGGTATCATTCTTGTTGAGTCCCAAGGCCTCAGCTGAGATGTCATCTCATGTCTTAGCCCTGGAATTTCACAGGCTCTTGCTGTTCCATTCTCAATCCAGCCACACAAGCCAGACCCAATCTCAAGGTCTGACAAAGGGCTTTTAAAAAAAGCCAAGCAAGAATAAATTTCTAAAAATCAATTTTTATATGTTTTAGATATAAGTCCTTTATCTGAGGGATAACTGGCTAAATTTTTTTTCCCATTCTCTGGGTTGTCTTTTTACTCTGTTGGTGATTTATTTTTATGTGCAAAGGCTTTTTAGTAAGATGAGATCCCAATTGTTGATTTTTTAAACTATTTCTCATGCAGTCTGGGTTTTGTTTATGAACTGTCTGCCTATATCTCTTATGTCTTCAATATTTTTACCTTTCTCTTCCGGTAGATTTAGTATTTCTGTTTGAATATTTAGATGTTTGATCAATTTTGATTTTAGTTTATTGTGTGGTGATAGACTCAATCCAAAAATGGACATTTGAGATGAATAACCACTTGGCAGATGAAGAAATACAAATAGCAAATAAATATATGAAAAAATGTTCAATATCATTGGTCATTCAAGAGATGCAAATTAAAATAACACTGAGATTCCATCTCACTCTAGAAAGAATGGCTAACATCAAAAAACCAACTAGTAACAAACGCCGGTGGGGCTGTGGGACACAAGGAGCCCTTCTACACTGTTGTTAGGAGTGTAGACTTGTAAAACTACTGTGGAAATCACTGTGGAGATTCCTCAACAAGCTAGAACTAGAGGTCTCATTTAACCCTGATGTTCCCTTCTCGGTATTTTCCCAGAAGAGTTAAAAACATCATCTCACCACAGTGATATATGTGCACCCATGTTTATAGCAGTACAATTTGTAATAAGTATATCTTGGAAACAACCAAATACTCACTAACCAAGGAATGGATAAAAAAGATATGGTACTGTTATACAATGGAATACTACTCAGCCATAAAGAAGGATAAACTTGAGACATTTATAGGTAAATAGATACAACTGGAGACCATACTCATAAGTGAAATAAATCATACTTGTGTGTAAATATAGTATAGTCTCCCTGGTATAAGGAACTGAAAGAGTAAATAAGGTCCAAAATACACAATAGATATTGTGAAATGGGAATAAATTGATCAAAAGGAAAAAGAAACTAGAAGAGGGAAAGGGGAAAGAAAGGGAAGAAAAGTGAAAAAAACAAATACAACAAAGTCATACTACTAGATTCTCTTAGTTCACCGAAAAGAAAGGTTTGTGCTAATATTATTTGGAGAATTTTTATGCCCATATCTTGTACTCTAATTATCTACTTTAAAGCTATCAATGTTCAATGTATTACCTATTGGTATTCTTCTATGATTTCATTATTAAATTTTTGGGTTTTTTTCATGAAAAATTTCTAAAAATTAAAAGCTAGCAACTCCAAGTTGACTAGATATATTTAGATTAATTTATATTTGTCTTCTTGATGTCAGGAAGGATTATTTTAGAATCACTGAGGTCTTCTGTTTTTATATGTCCATCTGTTTGTTTAAGTTGTTCATTTTTAATGTTAAAAATTAAATGCATATTGCTGTAATTTTTTCTGATGCTGATGGTTGAACCTAGGGTCTTCACACTGAGCTGTATCCACAACCCTTCCTTATTTCTTATTAATTGAGTTGGAGCATTAGACACTTTAAGAACAGACTTAATGGACACTATTTCTAACAACTGACCCTCTAATAATATAAAAGTTAATGGAATTAGAAAGAGAGAGAAGGAAAGAAAGAAAGAAGAAAAGGAGGCATCAAAACAAACAAGGCTCTTCTTGGAATGTTTTGTGTATATCTTCGAGTTTTCTAAATTTCCTATAATAAGAAAACTGTAATTTTAAATGAGAAGCAAATAAAAATTTTATAGATAACATAATGGAAAATAATTTCACCTTTAAAAAATAATCCTCGGCGCGGGTGGTCTGGGACCAAGATGGTGGCGGCAGCGGTAGCTGTGTCCCGGCTTTCTCTGCTGCTAGGCGGGTCCCGCCCGCACGTGCGGCGGCCTATGTCGAGTGGCGCCCACGGCGGGGAAGACTCAGCTCGCATGTGGAAGACCCTCACCTTCTTCGTGGCGCTCCCGGGGGTGGGAGTGAGCATGCTGGATGTCTTCCTGAAGTCGCACCACGGGGAGGAGGAGAGACCCGAGTTCATCGCCTACCCCCACCTCCGCATCAGGACCAAGCCTTTTCCTTGGGGAGATGGTAACCATACTCTGTTCCATAACCCTCGTGTGAATCCACTTCCGACTGGCTATGAAGATGGATGAAGAGAACCTGGACCATCATTACCCGGGCACCGGGCAGCATGGCTCTGACTTGGACCATTACTCTGCACTCGGACCAGAAAAGCGTATGGGACCTTAAGCTCACCTTCCTTACTTGTATCAAACGGTGACCATCATACTGATCTTCCATCTCTTTGCTTCTGCAAGAGATGACCTAAATAAATAACTTAAGACTCAGAAAAAATAAATAATTAAATAATTAAAAATAAAATAAAAATAAAAAATAATCCTCGGGGTCCGGGGAGATAGAGCTATAGAATAAGTGCTTGCCTGGCAAGTTCAGGGTCCTGAGTTCAATCCCTTGGACCACAAAAATAAAAAATAAAAAATAAATAATAATAATCCTCAATGACAGAAGTCTTTTATGCCAAGCATATTAATTACCAAATGCATGTATGATAGTATATATGTTTGTGTGTTTTAGAATGTTGTCCTGAAATTTAGTATTGGACAAAAACAGCTAACTAGCTTATTACATACAAATTAAATAATCTTTTTCACTAGCCAATTTTAGCCAAGCAGAATAATTGTGGACTTTCCTCTCTTTGTGTTTTCCGGTCCTGATAATATTGTTGCCAGGCAAGTAGAGGGGTGGGAATGCCAAATCCACAGAAAGAACTAGACAAGAAAAAACATTCTGCCAAGGAGAACTGATGGACTGCAGGGTGGGAAGTTTTCAGTAACTTTGAAAAGGGAAATGAGGACAGGAGGAGTTCTAGGAAGGAAGATTGGGAAATAGTATTTTGTGTCTCTAAACAGTACATTGATGCTATGAGGCATTGAGGTATAAGACAGAATACACATGGGGACACACACACACACACACACACCAACTAACTTTTTTACCCTGCTTTCAGAATTCTTGCCTACCTCCTTTCATTTTTTTTTTTTTTTTTAAGGTTTTTTGTTTTTGTTTTTGTTTTTTTGGTGGCTCAGGCTGCCTGAAGGGCGGGTCTGGTAAAGCAGGTGGAGCTGGGGATCAAACCACAGTGTCCTGTGCTTGACTACATTTGCATGAGCAGGTGCTTAAACAACTGAGCTAACCGTCAGGCCCCCCTTCTTTCATTTTGTAAACTGAGGTTCTTATGGAATCAGGAAAGTGGTTGGAACAAAGATAAGAAAAAGGCATTGTGGCTTGGCCTGGCTACCACGTGCAGAAAATTGATTACAAGGCCTGGCCACATAGTTCAGTGGATTAAAGTGCCTGCAAACAGGCACAGGGGCCAGGGGTTCGATCCTAGAGCCTGCTGTGCCAGCCCCACCCCTGGGGCATGCTGAGCTGACAATTGAGACTGGTGTGATGGGGCGTGCCTGTAATCCCAGCTCTTGGGAGGCTGTAAACAGGCAGATCACTACAAGTCCGATCTAGTAGTAAGAACCTGAACACCCTATAGACCCTTCCTTAAAATACAAAAAATAATAAAAATTAAAAAAAGAAAATTGATTACAGATATTTGGCAGCTTTGGTAAGGAAAATGTATTATATAGGTCAATTATTTAACATATAGATGATCCAGTGCCTTTGGGCTGCAGTGCTTTATTCTCAGGCAACTGAACAGGGGTTCCAAAACTGCCTTTCTCATGGGGGACACAAGTAATGTATTTAAGGATAAAAAGGAATAGATGTATTTCTGTATTTATTGTGAGCTTCTCACCAATGTACAGGTTCATCATATGGTCTTTTTCTTGCAGGGCATCCAGTATTTGTGTTCACTCCAAGACCTGAATTTATACTATAACAACATTCCTTCGTTAGTGGAGGTGTCCCGCCTACAGCCTTTGCCCTTTCTTAAAGAACTAGATTTGAGACTCAATCCTGTTGTAAGGAAAGACACAGATTATAGGCTTTTTGCTGTGTATACACTACAGACTCTGGAAAAACTGGGTGAGACCCTCCTCCTCTGCTCCTGCCCCACAATCTAACTTGAAATCAGCTGCCTCTTAACCTTTTGGATGTTGGCCCAGAGTCTGCGCTGGCAGGAGACATTTGTTTATTAGTCAATATTTATGTAACTCTTTGTGTTGGCAGGATGTATGACAAGTCCATTTATTGTTTATTCAACAACCATCTATAATTATATCAGTGACTTCCAGCTTTAGTTTTCTTCAGTTGATGGTTTCACCAGCACTTCCTCAACACAATATTTGTAGGTTGAGACTTATTTTTCCAGGTGTCCCAATTTTGCAACTATATTAGTGATAAAAACAACAATTCTTTGGGGTCCTGGTTATCAAGAAACAAGAAAATGTCCCTTCAGATGGGCTTCTCTGTATGTCCCTATAATTATACTGTTCAGCATATATTTCCTGATATAAAATTTGATTTCAGATGGCTCTAGAAAACTCATTGTAGGGAAACTAAGTGAACTCTTTCACAAACTGGTATAACTTTCATCCTTAGAGGGGGACCATTTCCTGTTCAAGTTCCTCTTTCCTGAGGGGTAGTTACCCTGTGTAGTAGTTGTTGCCATAGCTCTCTGAGTCTCCCTGAGTTACTGGTTGCTCTAGTGACAACATAATAGCGTTGTTGTGGCTTGTCTCTAACACATGAAGATGAGACTGCTCTTTAGTTTTTCCTCTGTAAATGTAGTTCTCTCACCCACCACTATTTACTCCAAAAACCAAACATATTTAGGCCTTCGTTTTTGCCTCCAGATGATCGAGCTGTGCGTGACAGTGAAAGGAAAGCTGCCAAGCTCCATTTTAGTCAGTTGGGCAACAGTGAAAATTTTCTTTTAGAGGTGGAAAAAAGGTAAGATTCTCTACCAACAAAGTGTTTTGAGTTTGGTTCTAGACATGGGTCATACTGAACTTGTTCTTGACTTTGCTCATTTTCTAGCAGAAATTTCCTACAGGTTGTAACATTGCAGATCTGAAATAAAAGTATCTGTCTTTATTTATTATTTTTTTGTTTAGATAGCATCTCTCCCTAACTTGCTAAATTGCCCAGGTTGGGGCCAGATTTGCCATCTTTCTGCCTCAGCTTCCCTAAGTGCTGGGATTGCAGGTGTGCACCACCATGTCTGGTTCATTCCCCTTTTCTTCAACTATTACTTTGGGTATAATTGTTATAAATTTTCCAAAGTTGTTTCTCACAGCTTGTAGGTGGGGACACTATGAAATGACTTACCCCACAAATGCTTACCAGCACTTTCTTGTAGAATTGTCCATCAGTACGCACAGTCTTTTCCTATTGAATAATTAGTGTTACATTCCTAGGACAAGATTATTAGAGATAAATTTGTCAAAGGAAGAGTAGGAAAGCAGTTCTCTACAACTGCAAAAGTAAACACATCTTTTTGTGTCCTGAGAATTTTCATTCAAAAAAAAAAAAATATTTGGGGCCGGGGAGATGACTCAGTAGAATAAGCGCTTGCCTGGCAAGCGCAAGGGCCTGAGTTCAATCCCCAGTTCCACAAAAGAAAAGAAAAGAAAAAGAAAAAATTTTACTTCCTCAATCAGAGTGAATTTTCTGTCAAGAAAAGAGTAGCTAAGTTCTAAATTTTTTACTTTTCTACTTATTTTGAATTATTGTCTTTTTTCTCATCATTCCCAGTATAAGTATTAAAACTTAAATAATCATACTTTCAACTAATGTATGGTTAAATTAATTATCTCCTAGGGTATTCTGAAAATAAAAGCTGATTACCACGAACAGTTGTTTTCAAAATAATGTAGACTAATGATCTCAGAATCTTTTAAAACAAAATTAAATAAATTCTTCTATGTGATAGCTCTAGGGAGAAAATAATGAAAACCTGTGGGACAGATGAGGGCTCGTCCTCAAAAGTCAGTGCTAACGCTGACACCAGGATTGAAGCAGGTAAGCTATCTCTGTGATCATAAAATGGTTAGGACATCCATCGTGTCAGCTGTCGTAGCCAGTCTTGGGTAAGAAAAAAACAGTTAAGAAAGCAGTTTGAAGCAGGCAGCAGATTCACTGGATGTTTTTCCTCCTTCCTCTCACTGCCCAAAGGACCCTATTGAGCAGTCATAACCAAGGACTCTTCAGAGTACACACTGTACTCAGTTCAATTTCATTTATAATACTTTACAGCATTAGTACCTCCTAAAATTTTATCTCCAATCCCCACAAACCTTGGGCATTGCTAAGATGATTGATTTCATTAGCCAGAGACTCGGGACTGCATCTCTGCAGTTCATACCCTGGGCCTCCTGTACTCCCAACCAATGCAGCTTCCGAAGCTGCAGAATCTCTAGGGTTTGCGCTGTATCTGTACACACTGTTGATAATCTAGTGTGATTAAAGTGCTCATGCCCCATTCATGGTCACGCCACAAAGTAGGAGAAAGCTTTCCCCCAGGAAATTGCATCCAGTGCGTTCTTGCAGATTCACTGGGCACACTCATACTGGTTAACTCAGATGACCTTTTACTTGAGGAAACGCAAGGTCTCTGTCCCTTTGAAGGATCTATTTTATTATATGCAAAGTATAAAAATCAGCATGTTTCCTAAAATTTCAGCAATGACTTTTTTTTTAATGTATTTAGGACAGGGGACACAGAGTCTCACTACGTAGATTGGACTCATAGTGATCCTCCTGTTTTCAGTCTCCCAAATGCTGGGATTAGAGGCAAGCATCACCACACCCAGTCTCAGGCACTAGCTCAGGTCCCCGGGGGGCAGGGCTGGCAGGCACAATGGGGATCAAACCCTGCCCACTGCACTCTGCCTAAGCAGGTGCTTTAGTCTGCTGAGCTATCTGGCCAGCCCTAGCAACAACTTTAATAGGCTGACTGTAGCTTAGATATCAAATGTTTTCAGTTCACAACATACTGTTTCCCTGACTTCTGTGTACCCATGTAAACATTTACTGACAAGTCATTTTCAGCCTTTCTGGTAAAATAAGGCATAATGAGGTATGATTTTAAATTTTCTTTCTTTGATATCTCAGTACATGTAGCTAAGTGGTGTAGTATGGGTTGCTTTGTTTGATTTTAAATACCTTTTTTTTTTACGTTTCAAAATCAATGCACTTTTTTATAATTTTGGCAAATACTTAAATGCATGAAGAAAGTACTTTTCTTCTTTAAATTTTTAATAGATTATGTTTGCAGCACACAGTGATTACATTCATTGTGGGGAGTTGGTCAATGTAAATAACATCTCAATTGAGAAGAAAATATTTTAATTACTCATAAGCCTAACCC